GAAAGAACATATATTTGCCATCCGTGGCTGGACTTGCCTTTAATAGTGTTGTTGGCAGAAATTGAGGTCTATTCAACTGCATGGAGCCAATGACACCACAGTGAAATAGGCATTTTTTTTTCCCTTTGAAGTTTTCAACTTGGGGTCGTGGTAGGAGGAGAACTTCCATTCTGGAATCACTACTCTGTTAAGGGAGGGAAGGGGTAGCAGTCAGGCTGGGTTAGGCTATGAGACAGTGACAGATAACTCCCCAAAGCTCGCTCAGTGTAACACAAGGACGGTTTATTTCTTGCTCAAACTACGTGTCTGTCTGCTGGGGTTGGCAAGGGGCAGACAGAAGCGTCTCCAATTCGAGTGGCACCGTCTATACCACTCAGCCTCCTGGGCTGCTGAGACAGGGAAGGAGCACACCTGTAGGCCTCAGCCAGCCCTTCTCTTCTTCAGCCCGGAAGTGGTGCTCAGCCCTTCCCCCCACAGCTCATTGGTCGGGACCAGCCACGACCGCTTGGCTGTCCCTGGGAGGGTCACCTTCCACACTGGAGAGCATGACATTGGTGAGTGCTGGGGAGGTGTAGTGTACTGCAGAGGGAGAAAGACCTTTATAAAGCTGACATCACCTCTCTTAAAAGCTTTTAGGCCTAAGAAACAGCTTTGATAGGGATTATTTTTTCCATGGACTATTTGCTGTTGTGTGAGAGGAAAAAGCTCTTATCTGGATTCTTTATGGACAATGAAGATAAAAGAACCATTTCCTCCTACTTTCTCAGCTAAGGAGCCATTTACTCTGTATGCTGCCTTGTTAAAGCATTATAGCCCCATTATCATAAATCTGTCTGGTGGAGAGTAATGGGAAAGGCTTGGATCCCATTTTTATGTTGAATATTTTGGACTTCTGAAAAAAAAATGATCAAACCCCAGACATTGTATACCTCACATACCCCGCCCTCTGTAGCCTTTGCTAAGTGCACCTTGTCCAGGTGGGAATGTTCTTCATTTAGGGGCCACTGTAGGATTGCTCATGACCTTGTAAAAATGGGAATCACACTTTACCTTGAATAGTAATTTACCTGAGTATGGCACTCATTAAAGGATGGGCACATGGAACTAAAAGCTAATAGCGAGAAAATGTCAGTGTTCAAAATCTTTCATGATGATCATAGTCACAGGAACTAGCTGGCAAAGTGCAGATGTGGTTAGTGGTTCCTGAGAGAGTCCTGTCATTCTGAGAGGTCTACTGCCATGCAGTTTGGCCAGCGTCTCTATTAGGGCTTGTTATCTGATGTAAAGCTCTCAGCACAGGCTGTGGTTTTATAAATGTTGGTGGTGATTATTATTATCTCACTGGTTATTAATCATAGAAGCTTTCCCTCTTAGTGGGTCTTTGTTTAGCTTACATATCTTTAAAAGCCCACTGGAAGTGACTACTGGAAATACCAGGCGCCCACACGCTGGTGTGCCCACCACTTTTCATGAGTGGAACGAACTTGAGGACAGTTGCCAGCTTGCTGCTACTCTTGGCACAGCATTTGTAGAAACTCATCATAAATCTGGAAAATCCCTAGCAGAATGCCACAGAGCATTGCCCGTGTTGTCTCTCTGAAAGCGGAGATGAGAAGAGTCTTTCCTCCTGACTTGATTGGTCTTTCAGGTCACAGAGGAAGGAGTACTTCACCAAACACTGGGGTGACTGTCCCTCTCCTAAGAATCAGAGCCCTGGACAAGCCCACAGATACAGCCATTCAGTACACATTGTTTCATAAAGTGCTCATTTAGCTCTAATTACTGCAAGCCCTTTGAGGGATGCAGAGGCGAGCAAAATGCAGCACATCAGTATATAGGAGAGAAAAGACCACACACAAATAGCTCTGACACAAGGCATAAAAGGGTGCATCCTGTAGGAGCAGGCATGGGCACAGATGAAGGAAAGATTCTTCTTGTCAAGAAATCAGAGTCTACATGGAGGCAGTGACATTGGAGTTGGACATTGAAGGTATTTGATTTTCACAGAAAGATGGGGGTGGAAGGGCCTCTTAGGTAGAAGGAACAGCATGAGCAAAGGCACAGAGAGAGACAGTCCTGAGTGCACTGAGGCCAGCCGGGTACCCTGTGGCTGGACTATCTGGTTGGCCAAGGGACTGGGGGGAGAGGAACACTGGAAAGGCCAGGTGATGCAAGACAGGGGTTGGGGATATCAGGCAGATTTAGGGGAGTTGATGAAAGTTTTTGAGCAGGGAGGTGTCATGAGAAGTAAATGCCAATTACCGTGTGGGTGTCAGCAGCCTGGCTGGGTGCTTGTTTTAGATGTGTTCTGCTCAGGTACAGAGAATTTCACAGGTACAGAGAAGACATGATGTGACCTGTGGTGAGATGAAGAAAAGGCTGAGAACCAGATCAGAACATTCTGAACAGTCTTTGTACTCTGGCTGGTGTGGAGTTCAGTGATATGACAGTCAGTAGGTTAAGTCCAAATTGCATTTCTTGTAACAAGCTGAAAATGAAGAGTACAAATTATCATAACAGTTAAATGGGGAAAAAAAGGTTTTGGTGTTCAGGGCTCTATCAAAATAGATAGTTATGGTTTTTAAAAAGTTAAGATGACACAGGAGAGCTTCTTGCAGGACGTGGCACCATAGATGATTCATAAAAAGCCAAGAAGAATTAGGCAAGTGGGTTTCAGTTCCAGTCATGGCGGTGTAGCTTGTTGCAGATAACCTTTCAGGTAATGACTATAAAATCCGGACAAAATATAAGAAACAACTGTGGGAAGACATTAGAGAATGAACATAAGCAGACAAAAACCTAAGGGCTTTTGGCTCTTGAAAGAAAGAAAGTGCAGCAGCTCATGTCTATAACTATATGACTTTCTACCTGAAGCCTTCCAATCCACAAGCGTGCTCTGTCTCTCCATGTACTTAGGTCTTCTTTAATTTCCCTTTGTAATTTTTTTGAAAATTTCACAGTACAAGTCTTGAACATGCTTTGTTAACTTTATTCTTAAGTATTCTATTTTTAATGTTATTTTGGAGTTACTTTTTCATTTTATTATTTTTCATTACTGGTATGTAGTAATACAATAATTTTTGTATAATGTCAACCAGAAGGAAAGTCATTTTTAACAGCAATGCTGCAATAACAGCATAAACATTAGGGAAAAAATTAACCTGGACCCCCTATCTCAGTGTGGATCATATCCTTAAAATAAAAAGCTCCTGGAAAACACTGGCCAAAAGAACTTTCTGTGATAATGGCAGTGTTTCTGTGCCATCCAGTTAGGTAGCCACTAGCTATATGTGGCTACTGAGCACTTGCAATGTGGGTAATATGAGAATCAAATTCTGAATTTTACTTAATTTAAATTTAAATAGTCACATATGTGTAATATATTGCATTGGATAGCATAGTTCTAGAAGAAAGCATAGGCGAGAATATCTTCATGACTTTAGGTTAGGCAATTCTTTTTTTTTTTTTTTTTCTTAGAGATGGGATCTTGCTCTGTCACCTAGGCTAGAGCACGAGGTTGTGGTTTTTGTAGTCTTTTGTGACAGTTGTTGGTATCAGGCATTGGTGCGTGAGAACCCTGTCTTCATGGCCTTCTCTGGCTCTATTTGTCAGGGATTTTTTTTTTTTTTTTTAACACAAGTGACTCCATTTTCATTCTCACAACTTTCACAACATATAGATCCTCTAGTTTTATTAGTCAAGGAAAGAAAGGAGAAATGAAAGGACAACGTAATGAGCATTTTCTGGACACTAAGAACACAAAGATAAGCTTTTCACTGCTCTCCAGGAAGGAGAAACAGACATATCATACTGTTGTCACACCAAGAGATCACTGGGACAAAGCTAGTAGGAAGAGGGGTGGCCATGGGAGCCCCAGTTTAGCCTCAGGGGAGAGGGGCAGGGAAGGCATCTCAGAGGGGCTTCAATGTCTACTACCCTGGCTCTGCCCTGGAGAGGGGCAGAACTTTCGTGGTCTCTGGTGCCTTAGTTCCCTAGCAAGAGTTGTCAGTGGATCCAATTCTTCATTCTGAGGAAATGCAGCTGTGCAGCGCAAGAGCCACTGCACACAGCTGTGTTTCTGGGTCTGCTGTCACGCTCAGCTGGTGCCCCAGGCAGGCGGAAAAGCAACCCTTACATCAGTCTAGAAAGGTTGGTGGTGAAAGTAGATGAGGTATAAGGTTTTTCAACTTCCCCGTGCTCTTTCCTTTATGTACTTGTAAGACTAATTGCGAGTTATTTTATTCATTATTCACTCATTATTACCACTGAACCACGAATTTGTTACACACTAAATGAAACAGGGATTTAGGAACCTAGGTTGTATGCCCACTCCTATCACAAACTGGTTGTGCATCTCAAGTGGGAAGTTTTGGCTGCTCCTTACTTTTGTTTATATGTTTGTAAAACGGCACAGCAATTCTGGCCCTAAGTGATTGGACTGTTTAGTTTTGAGAATCAAGTGAGATAAATGGATATTATAGTGTTTTGGTACATATTTAATGTACCCCTGTGAGATCGTGTTGTTGTTTTCAGGCCGGCAGGATATAGGCCAGTGGTCCTAGACTTTAGTATGAGTAATGGTGCTTGGAGATTCTGTGACAATATAGATTACCAAGCTTTCCTGCCTTCAGAGATGCTGAGGGTCTGCTCCCCAGGAATCTGCATTTTAGGAGGCACTTCAAGTAATGCTGATGCCCATGATCCAAGAATCCCACTGATAAACACTGATGTATCTTCAGAATATGGGGGAATTCCTCAGCAGGATGTCTGTTTTGGGGAATGATCCAGAGCCCTCATCTTTAAGCTTTTGCCTTGAGTTTATTTGCACGTGTTCAGAAATGGGATGGCTCTCCTTTCTCATGTCTGCATGCCTCAAAAAGACTTACACTGAGTAAGTGCTTCATGGAAATGTGCTGGCCTGCCTTACATGCAGAAAGCCATGATTCTGCAGGTGAATGAGCTGAAGCATAAGCAATCTTTTGTTTTCCTTTTGTTTATAGCAATGCAGAGTCTTCAGAGAAGAGATTCAGAATGAACAGCTTTGTGTCAGACTTTGGAAGACCTCTGGAACCAGATAAGGTGTTTTCTCGCCAGGGCAACGAGGAGTCCAGGTCTCTCTTTCACTGCTACATCAATGAAGTGGAACACTTGGACAGGGCCAGAGCTTCTCACCAGACCACAGGCCTCGGCAGTGACGTCCAACTCCAGGAAGCCATGGGAAGCAGCGGGCAGCCGGAGGAGGAGCTGAACAGGCTCATGAAGTTTGACATCCCCAACTTTGTGAATACGGACCAGAACTCCTCCTTTGGGGAGGATGATCTTCTGATTTCGGAACCACCTATTGTTCTCGAAAATAAGCCACTTTCCCAGACGTCACACAAAGACCTAGATTGAGAAACATGCTCTGAAAAGTGTCTACCTAAAGATGTGGATTCTGTTTGGGTACAGCATGAAATTCCCATCCACCAAAATTGTGGGGGTGGGGGAGGGAATGAGAGACAGAGAGACACAGAGAGAGGTAGAGACAGAGAGAACATAGAGACAGGGAGACAGAGAAGACAGCCCCCTTAGAAGAGAGCTGATTAAGCCAAGTGTTTTTTTGTTGCTTTTTAACACATTTGAGGCTTTGAGGGGATTCATATTTATACTGTCTCATCTTCCTCGTTGAAAAACTTGGCCAAATAGTCAATGTCAGCATTCTCGAGTGAGGGTCGGCCTCCTGTGCCCTGATCTGGCCCTGCTGCCTGCGTGCTCTGCCTTGTGCAAGTTGCTCTCCCTCCCTGGCTGCCACCTTTTTAACTGTAAAGTGATGTGTCTGGAGAGATGCATCCAGCTCTAACATTTTGTAAATTTATGACTTTGCATCCAAATGAGGCTGAGACATACATAAAGCAGCATAAACGAGGGCACTGCCTCCTAGCTCTTGTTGTAGGCTCTTTCCGATCTCAGCACCTTACTCTTCACCCTTAACTGAACCAAGCTTTAGTCAGGGGGAATGGGGTATCTACCAGGATGTCAGGAAACTCACCTTACATAGTCACAGTGGCCAGCATTTCTGCTGGGTCATGCTGAAACAGCTCTTCGGAGGACCTGCAACCCCCCATGCTCAAACCTGGGGACAGCCCTGCCCCACCTGAGAATGAGTCCCCATCCACGTAGATCGCATGGCACTCCCACCCCCAAGATACGTTAGGAAGGTTGTCAGCTGAGTGAGGGGAGGTGCCTTCTGTGTATCTCTGGGTTGGTGTTTCTGTGGTCACACTGCTGTGCCACTGGCTACAGAATACAAGCATAAGCTACTACGTATAAATACAGTTGTCCCTTGGTATATGTGGGGCGTTGGTTCCGGGACCACCACCCAAATATACCAAAATCCTTGCACCCTCAAGTCCCGAAGTTGGTCATGTGGAACCTGCATGCATGAAAAGTTGGCCCTTCATATATATAGGTTTTGCGTCCCAGGAATACTGTATTTTAGATCCATGTTTCTTTGAAAAAAAAAATCTGTTTATAAGTGGACCTGCCTAGTTCAAACCCATACTGTTTGAGGGTCAACAGTATTCCCACTCAAACAGGAGAAAATGGAAGACAAAAAGAGTCAGCAGTCCCAGGAAATTACAAAATTCAGCTGGGAAAACTATTAGGTTGCAAGGCCTGCAAATACTCTTCTGCGACTCATGGCTCTGCTAGCACAGGCAGGAAGGGAGACACGGTAGAGGAAGTACAGAGTGGCCCCAGGAGCAGAAGGGATTCTGGGTAAGGGAACACACTGCAAGATATGGGTCGCTATCAGTGTCACAGAATGTTAGCGTAGGAAAAGGGAAACCTGAGCAGAGAAAATAGGAAAGGAAGCAAGAAGCAAAGTAAACCAATGGGTGCCGAGTAAGAGAACGCACTGCAACAGTAGCAAGATAAAGGGCAGTTACAACTGTCACAAGAAACATAGCAGGAAGGACACAGGGCACATTGCACATTACAGCATGCCCTCCCCCCATGGGCTTTGGACCCCATAACACATCCCAGCCTAACCATGTAAGGTGAAAAACTGCTCCCTGCACCCTTCAATGGCTGGAAAATGACAACATTCCCCTTGATTTAAAAAAAAGAGGAGAAGAGACAACGTCAGGAAGGGGGAGAAGCCAGACAAGGAAAAACAAAGAGAAACCCAGAGAGACCACAGTGCCACCGTCCACTAGGACGTGTGCCCACCCTTAACCCCTTTAAGAGTGAGGCAAACGTGATAGCCACTACACTACAGCAACCGCTAATCCCTGTAAGAGTGACCTTTTGCTTTATTAATAATAAAGTTTGCTGCTTGCTGCTTCAAAACTGTCTCTTGCTTTCCTTCTTCAATCTTGAGACGACAAGAACCGAGGATTTCAACAGCCGGTAACAGCTCCTTCCTTGGGGCCTGAAGCTCTGCCCTTGGAATCATCCCTCCTGTTTCTCAAAGAGTAGAACGTGTTTGTAGCTGAGTAGTTTTATCAACCTGTTTCTGCACGTAGAATTTTGAGTCTAACATCCCTCTTTTATGTTGTCCTCACTCTGTGCATTTCAGTTCAAGTCAGCAATGTTTCTGCTGGTATAACATTTTTAAGAACCGGTGAGTCTTCTGGATATATCATAGGAATTCATCCAATTAGGCAGGAGGCTCCTCTACAGATCCTTCCTGAATAATCCTAGCTCTATTCCTAGCTTCTATGCAGATGGATAAAGGGATCCATGAATCACACTCCTAGTTTCTTCCCAGAGAAACTCCTGCGTGATCAAATATTCTAACTTTTTGTTTCTTTTGAGACACTGGCAAAGCTGTCCAGTCATACGCTTGGCTTTCTCTCCAGAGCATGCTTTCCTGACAGTGAATCTTTTAACTTGAGTGTCCTTTTGCAATCTGCATGCGATGAGAATTTTCCAAATCATCAAGTCCTGGTTCCTTTTCACTCAAACAGTTCTTTACTCAATTTATCCCTTTCCTCTTGCATTTTACTGTAAGTTGCAAGAAGAAACCAGACTTCCTCTTTAACGTTTTGCCTGGAAATCTCCTTAGGCTAAATATTCAAATTTGTTGTTTACAGATTTTGCTGTCTACGTAACTGCAGAACAAAATTCACCTAAGTCTTTTGCCTCTATGTGACAAGGATCCTCTTCTCTCCAATTGCCAATTGCATCTTCCTCCTTCCCATCATAACACTCACCTTTAGTGTCCATATTTTTGCCAACAGTCTGTCGTGATTTACGTACTCCATAAGACATATATTTTTTTAATCATGCTCATCACTTCCTTCTGAGTCCTAAGTTGTTAACATCCATACTTCTACTAAGAGGCTGCTCAAGATAATCTGGTTATTTTCTATCATGCACCTCAATATTCTTCCAGCTGCTGCCCATTGCCCAATTTCACACTTTTAGGTATTGTTACAGCAGCAATAGGATGCTATTATATAGTTCCCCTTTCTCCCAATTCTCACAGCGGGGAGGTGGAGGGACTCGGGTGGATGCTGGACATGTAGTGGGTTGGCATCACTCCTGAGGAGCCCTGAGCTTAGGGACTCCATGTTTTGACAGTGGGCTGCAAGCAACCTGCCTGACCTTTATCCCAGAAGGAAACAACATCTTTTTTATACCGAATAGCAAGGAAACCTGCTCTCTGCTCCAGAGGGAGACAGTGTCTCCACCTTCCAAGGCTATTCACTCTCCAAACACTGTTGAATAGACAGTTGAGACAAAAGCTGTCAGTGCCTTTGCTCACAATACGTGCAGAAACATGAAAGGCCCTTGGAGAACTGTCTCCAAATCCTAAAATGATCAAAGAGTATATTGTCTAAGTCATCTGGGAATTTTTAAAAAGAGACAACTTTGAAGAAATTGCAAAAAGAATTAAGGTGATTTGAAAAATGCCTGAATTTCCCTTTTGGAAGTGTACAACCACTTCAGGTTAAATTCAATGGATTTCTTTCCTTCTGAAAACTGTGAATATTTTTCCAAAATGTACACTGTGTATGTAAATCTTTTTTTACCCACTAAAATACTGTCTCTTAGTGGTAGAAAAATAATCCACTATGCCACCCAGAAATGGGGTATGATAGAAATAGAGAATGTTTGTGTCTAGGCCAGACTCTTAGATATCTTGAGAGAGGAGAGTTCAGGCAGCCTGTGATCAGAAGCAGAGAAATGGCAGCCTTTGCTGATTCTTGAGACAGACGTGTGGGGTAGAGAGAAAATATTGTTGTTTTTTAATAGAATTGACTCTCTTGAATAAATTTTGCAGAAAACTTATGATCCTGGGTGAAGAGCAAGCCTTGGGAGTTAATTTACAACTGTAAAGCTACTGAGAGAAATATGCCTAACTCGGGAGGTATGTGTTTACATTTCAAGAGAAAATATGTTCCAGGACCTTGGCGACATCTCTAGATCATAAAATCCAAAGACACTTGGGAGGGATGTGTTTACATTTCCAGGATCCTTTCCATCTGGCCTCTCTGGAGCAAAGCTTTTTCTTCCTCCTATTTTGCTTCCTTCTCCTGTATGTAAACAGAGAAACTTCATTTTTCTCCATTCCTCGCCTAGCATACAGATTTTGTATGTGTAGGAGATGTTGACCTAGTTTGCATTGTTACTTCAGGAGTAAAGATGGGGATGTGAGGAACCGTGTGGTTGTGGTTTGCTTTTAGGATGAATCATGAGAATCTGAGCTGACCCAGATCACCTTGGGTGTCCATTCATGGTAAAATTAATAAAGATGAACATAACACAGTGTTAGACTTCATTCCCAAAACACCTTCTCAGACAGCAGAATAATGTCCAGTGTAAGCGCAGGAGAGTTTGTACCCGTGACTATGTCCATGCAGTACCCTCAGAGCCTATGAGCTACTACTGTGAGTTTGGAAGCACCAGCCTTTGGCTTCAAGTGAAGTGTGTGAGGATGAATTGCATTAAAGAAAGGTAAGCTGAGAGACAGTTGTAATAACAATAGTGTCTTAGGTTCTATAGGAGCAGAGCCAGACAAGAGGATTCTTGCTGAAGTGATTTCCTGGAACCAGCCCATCAGAAGGGGTTTGACAGAAGCAGCTAGGGCAAGGAAAGCTAGCAAGAGTGTTTTCTCCAAGGGGAGCCCTTGTACGCTGTTGGTGGGAATCTAAATTAGTGCAACCACTATGGAGAACAGTATGGAGGTTCCTCGAAAAACTGAAAATAGAACTACCATAGGACCCAGCAAGCCCACTGCTTGGGTATATATCTAAGGATGGGAATTCAGATACTGAAAAGATGATTCTGTGTTCCCATGTTTATTGCAGCACTGTTCACAATAGCCAGGATTTGGAAACAATCTAAGTGTCCATCAGTGGATGAATAGATAAAGAAATTGCAGTACCTATGTATAATGGAATATTATAGAGCCACAGAAAAGAATGAAATCCTGCTATTTGCAACAACATGGATAGAATTGGAGAACATTATGTTCAGTGAAATAAACCAAGCACAGAAAGACAAATCTCACATGTTCTCATTCACATGTGTGAGCTGAATATTAAAAACAATTGATCTCATAGAGACAGAGAGTAGAATGACGGTTATCAGAGGCTGGGAAGGGTAGCAGGAGGTGGGGTGGGGATAAAGGAATGATAAATTCCTGAAGTGATGGCTACTCTAATTACCCTGATTTGATTAATTCACAATTTATCTCTGTATCAAAACATCATAAGTACCCTATAAATATATACAGGTAAGGCTGGGCATGGTGGCTCACTCCTGTAATCCTAGCACTCTGGGAGGCCGAGGCAGGCGGATTGCTTGAGGTCAGGAGTTCAAAACCAGCCTTAGCGAGACCCCGTCTCTACTAAAAATAGAAAGAAATTAATGGCCAACTAAAATATACATAGAAAAAATTAGCCGGATGTGGCACATGCTGTAGTCCAGCTACTTGGGAGGCTGAGGCAGCAGGATTGCTTGAGCCCAGGAGTTTGAGGTTGCTGTGAGCTAGGCTGACGCCACGGCACTCTAGCCTAGGTAACAGAGTGAGACTCTGTCTCTAAATAAATGAATAGATAGATAGATAGATACAGGTATTATCTACCCAGAATAATTAAAAATTTTTAAAAATTAAAGAAAAAGAATGTTATCTCAGCGAGGGGCCAGCCTCATTCTGATCTCATGGGAAGTTCTGGGGCACAAATTGCACCACAAAGGCTGTCCCCGTTTGAGGGCAGGAGTGTGGCCTTTTGTAGCTTCAAGCCAGTGAGAGTAAAGGTGGTTTCTACTGTGACCAAGGGAGATTCTTCAGAGCAGGGGGCATTGCCCAGCATGCCCATAGCTGGGAGTGGGCACTGGCTAGTAGTGGGCACTGCCAGCAGCCATTACAAACAATAATGGGTGGCATTTATTAGGCGCTAAGCTGCCCCTGTGCTGATTTTTGTAACCCTGTTGTGAGAACTCTCAACACAGAGAAGTCTAAGTGATCCTTTTATTAATCAATATGACTTGTCAGATTTCTTTCTTCTTTGAAATTCTGCAATGACTTCCCGTTTCACTCAGTGAAGCAGCCATGACCTCAAAGCTCTACGTGACCTGCGCCACCTCCCCTTTGCATCACAGCAGAGGTAGCCCTTCCAGTAACTTTTTTTTTTTGAGACAGAGTCTCCCTCTGTTGCCCGGGCTAGAATGCCGTGGCATCAGCCTAACTCACAGCAACCTCAGACTCCTGGGCTCAAGCGATCCTCCTGCCTCAGCCTCCTGACCTTCCAGTAACTTTTACGCAGGGGTCTCAGTAAACCAAGACAGTCTCTCCATCTAGGATGATCCCTTTTTCCGAACTGATATTATTATGACCCCTACCCCTCCAGGGCACTGTGACATGCATCAGATCGCAAGCTTGCCATGCTGGCTTTAAGTTTCCTCTTTATTTTTGTCACCTGGGAACATCTATTTTCTTCATATTTAGTTCTATATTATTTTTGTTGTTGTTGTTGTATTTTATCCATCATTAATAAAAGTTTTATCCAAAAGGGATTCAAATTAGCTCAGTTCATCATGTTTCTGGAACTGGAAGCATACTTATTTCTTCGATTCTAGAATATCCATTTGATTCCTCTTAAAAAT